TATGTGATGAACCTTTTTTGACGTGTGCATGCTACAGAGGGGTGTACGAAATTGGAGGTGGTCTGGGTGTGTTTTCGGGCAATAGTAATGCATGGCACATCTGTTGCGAGCCATATCTCTGCAATCTGGTTTTGCGGTGCGGGAGCCGGGACCCGAACTGGAACATCTATAATGTGAATCGCTCTCGCGGCGGACCTATAAATTATGCCGATGCAGACCCGCGAAATCCGAGACCACCCGCTGGCAAGCCATAATTATGAAGTACGCGCGGCATGCCCGGCGGCGGCGGTCAGAAGAACGGGTTCTCCCACGTTGAGATGCCGCCGCCCGTTGCCGTCGAGTAGCCAATCGACCCAACGAGAAGCGCGAGGAGCACCTGCGCCGCGTAGTCCTGCGGCTCGCCGGAGAAGCCACCCTCCTCGGCCAGCGCACGCCGCTGCAGGAAGCGCACCACCTCCGACTCGGCGTCCTCCCGTGTCCACCCTTGCGCGCTGCCAAGCTCGACGTACGCGTCGACCATCGCCTCGACTGACGCATACGGCGGCTTGTCCGTGAGGAGTCGCTCGCGATTCCGCCGCTGGAAGGCCTCGTCGACCAGGGTGCGCATCTCGGGCGAGATGCCCGAGTACGTGATGAGCGGGCCTGTCAGGCCCTTGGGGTTGTCCGCCGTCACGTCCGGATCGACCACCGCCGGCGGCTTCTCGCCGTCGCTCATGACGGCGCAGCAGCTGCGATCGGCGAGGCGTGGAGCAGCAAACGCTCGCGCCGGAGGCAGCACTGCCGGGGACGCTCCTAATAGCGCGAGAAGAGCCATTCTGGGATGAAGAGAAAGCTGTTGGGACCCGTTCAAATAACCTGGGGGACCCGGGACCGCCCCGCCGGAGGTTGGTGTACCCGGGAGGAGGAGATGGGGGAGGGGAGTTGCCGCGGTACGATAGCGGACCCGCCGGCGGGCCGGAGGGCCGTGGCCGGAGGGCCCCGGCCCCCGGGGGGGGCTTGGAGTCAGTTGTCGGAGGAGGCGAGAGATGAGCTGACGCGGCCCCTGCGAGTGGAGTCGGGACGTACGAGCTCACCGGGGGAAGGCCCGTCGCAGTGGCAACCGGACCACCGCGACCTTCGACAGGGAGGGCCACGCCTCCCCGAGCCTGGAGAGGAGCCGGCGGAGGGGGAGGGCGAGCCGAGAACGATAGAGAGGCCGCGGGTGCGGGCGCGATTCGCCGACCAGGGAGAGCCGGCCCGACCTCCCGGGGAGGGGTGGCGACGAGACACAATGCCGCCACTCCCGCCCGGGGAGGCCCCACCCGGGCTGTCGGCTCCCTCGGGGCCAATGGGGCTAGCCGACGGAGGTGGGGCGGAGGGACCGCCCCCGAGGAAGAGACATCAGAAACGACTGCAGAGGCAGTGGGGCGACGCCCGAAAGGCGAGCAAGAGACCGAACCAGACTGAAGATTCACCCTGAAGGGTGGGGGACGAGGCCGGGCAGTGTACACGTTAGACAGTCGTGTGTGTACGTGACGGGTGGTGTCGTAGTGTCCGTGTCCACTAGCTCCGAGTAGAGGGGGCGTTCTGCAGTTAAGGGGAAACCCGGTACACGGAGCCCTCTCGGAGAACTGTGTTTACTTTAAGGCCCTTGCCCTGCGAACGCGCACCCCCCCCTAGGGGTCAGGGCTCTCTAGCCCGTAGCCCGATACCGATCATCCGGCCCGCTGGGTGCGCTTCTGAGCTCCCCGGCCCTGGATGTGAGGTTAATGACTGCACTCCAAGTGCTCCAAGGGCGTTGAGCCACAGGCATCCAACTTCTCGTTTAGCACCACACGCCTCTCCTTAAAATCCCTGTGTGGTTCCTCCTTTGCTTGCCTATTTTCTTTCTTTCTTTGACATCTCCCTACGATAAGGCTTACTTATGGAATTCACAGTGAATAGTAAAAAAATAAATAACCTCCGAAAGCCCATCGGGTCGCTCCTCGTCGCAAACCCTGTCAGCAGAGTCCTCCTACGCGCTACGGGAATGTACGTAAGAGCCACATACACTTGAGAGAGAGATTAGGGGCCTAGATAGAGAGAACACAACCCCCTCTCCCTTTTCTCCCAGTAAGCTAAAAGTACGTACACTGAGAGAGCCTCCCTTTTCTCCCAGTAAGCTAAAAGTACGTACCCTGAAAATGAAATCACTCGTGTGTCCGTGGTACCGTTTGTGGTCTCCTATACCATGGAGCAGACACACGGCCCCGATGTGGATGAGTCAGCGCCGCTTCGAGCGCCAGCGCTGCGCCAGCGCGGCGTCGTCGGCGCCGACAGACGCCGGCGAGTTCCAGCGCAGACGCGCCGCCTCAGCGGCGGCTCGTCTCGACAAGGAAGGAGTGGAAGGAAAAAGTGCCGGAGGGAGAGACATTCGCCGTCGAGATCATTGGACATTGCGGTTGTGCGCACACGGTATTTGCTAAAAATCTCTCTCTCACACGGAGCAGCTTTCATACGCCTAGTGTCGTGTGAGAGAGTTTCTTTCATACGCCAGGGAGGACAAGGACGTCGACGTGCAGCAGCTGTTCGCGTCGTTCGGTGGGTTCGGGACTTAGGGGACCCCGAGGGTTCTGAGGGCCGGATTTTTTTAAGAGCTTTTCAGAAGTGAGGAGGTTTGGGGGCTTAAATTGCCATTTAAGAGATTGCAGGCACGGGGGGTCCCTCTTTTAAGACCGTTCAAGAAAATCGGCCTCACCAGCACGCGTCTCGCTGGGTTCCGCGCCGTTTAGCGTTTTCTCCAATACTGCCGTTATTAGGCACAAACCCGCCTCTGAAGACACATCTGTAAGTCTGGTGCACTGGCAGGAGCCCATAGATACTCACATAGGGGACGCGTGCTAGCTGACTGTAGCCAGCTTCCCGGGCTCCGGCGTCTTCCGGGTCGGAGCCTCTCTTCCGGACGCCATCGACCTCGGGAGCTCTCCCGCACCTTTTTGTCTAAGCGTTTAAGACCGTTTAATGATTCGGCGGCCCAGCAGCTCTTAAAACCTGCCCTGGCAGGGTTTAAGCCGTTTAAGCCGCAGGCGCCCCTGAGGGAGGGTGTAGAGGATGTAGAGTGTGTAGAGCGCTGAGAGCTGTAGATATGTAGAGCGCTCTGGAGCGCTGTAGAGCTGTAGAGCTCTACATCCGCCGCGGGACGAGGCGCCTCCGTTGTAGAGCGATGTAGAGCGCGATTTTGTTGTAGAGTTTGTTGTAGAGGCTCTACAGCAAAACCGCCGGGAAGGCAGTGACTCAAAGAGGTCGAGCCGCGCTAATGGGGTGTCTCCGAGCTTACTGGAGCTCTGATGGACAGCCCCGACTATCCCTGACACACAGAGAGTCACTCCGACGGCACACAACACCTATAACTGCGTCATGACCAGCCTGCCATGTGTCGCCGGTGCCGCATTCGTCGCTGTGCTTCTTTAGCAGGCGGTGGACTGTCGGCTGCGAGGACGGTCGCATGTGCGCGAGGCGAGGCGAGCATTGTTGCGCGTTGCATGCGCCATGACTCGCGCCAGCGCGTGCGGGAGCTCCTGGCTGAGCGTTGAGTCCAGGCGAGTTGCGCTGGCCACTATCGCTACGCCGAGCCGAG